TATTTCGCGGGTTTCGAATATTATTGTTGTTTAACTTCCATCCTTTTGTTTTACACATTTTCATGTCTCATACACTTCATTGGGGAATGTGTAATTTTGTTATAATTGTTAGTTGTTTTTTTTAAAAATCAAATGCTGTTAAAAGGATTAAGTTTAATTAGTCTATTTGGTGGGGTTTTTTTTTTAAGTTTAACAAATTCACTTTAGTATACCTCACCATTATGAAAATCAATACAAATGTTCGAATCGACTAAAATCATCCCTAATATTTTGCTGTGAGGTATTTTGTCGGAGATCATTTGTCCTTGAGATCATTTGTTCTGAGATATTTGTTCTGAGATCATTTGTCTGAGATTATTTGTCTGTAAGCTATTTTATGAGGGATATTTTGTATGAGATCATTTGTCATGGAACCGATTTGGGATATTAGCTGGCTGCTACACATTTTCATAACTACATTTGAGTCAGGATATTCCACGCTTAGAAGTAAGTAAAGTACCTTTTCGAACCAGACGGTTCACGGGGCAGGTGAAGTAGAATTCACCTACTTCAGAGACCTCAGACGAAATTTTAAAAAAAAAATGATCTATAGAGAATATATTTAATTCTCACCCCCACTCCGGAAATTGTAAGTGCGGCCCCCGGAAATTTTAGCAGCCACCTCCGTGGTGGAAAATGTCTGAAAGATACACTGAGATAGAGATAGTTTATGTTATTTATGTACCTGCTCAGGACGTGACTGCAAATCTTCCTGCCTGCCTGCCTGCATGCCTGCCCGCCACCAAAAAATGTATTAAAATCCTGTCACGGTTTTTAAAAAAAGGATGCCAAAATACAATCCGGCATAGTATCCCCCCCCCCCCCCCCCCCCTCACTCCATCTTTTAATCCGTAAACCTCAACGGAAGGAGGTAGCTTTTTAAGGGGGGAGGGTAGGTTTATGAACATTATAATCATCACAATGCAGCCTTTTGAGAATGTGTTTTCTGGTCTGCCAATAACATTTCGCAATAACAGGGGAGAGAAAACATGCAGGAAACGAATGAATGTGTGACTCTAAGCCCCACCGTATTTTTATTTGTGACCCTAAGCCCCGTCTTATTTATGTTTCCCCACTCTGGTAAGAGCGGTGTACGGGTGTCACGTGGTGTGGTCCGCACCCCCTAGTGACGCCTCAAACACGTGTTCACTGGGGAGTTAAGCTCGACTTTATATTGGCATGCTCGTGGTATTTTTTTTTTTTTAATTCGCTGGAAGAAAAATTTGGTGTCAAGGATATGGGTTGAAGGTCGGAAACTTGAGTGTAGGGGGGGGGGGGGGGAGGTTGTAAGATGCCGAGTTAGGTTAGACCGTGGTGGGTTGTCTTAAATGTGTGGGTTGGCTGTCTTGTGTGGGTTGTCTAACCTGATGGTTGGCTAACATGTGATGGTTGGCTCTAACGTTTGGGTTTTTCTAATTTGTGAGCAGTGTTTCTTTCAGACTTTTTTCTCCGGGTGGGGGGGGGGGGCACTTGAAACTTTCGGGGTGGGGGTGGATTACATTTTCACGGGGGGGGGGGGGGGCGGGACACTAGTGAAAGTATATATTTTCCATATAGATTATATTTCATTTGGGACCCCCTCCCCTGAAGAAATGCTTGAAAGAAACGGTTCTTGTGTTATCTACACTATGTACATTGAGTGTTTTCTCAACTGGGTAGCATCGAGGGTTGTCTCCCATTTTCCCTACACCAATTGATTATCCAGCCCTCATGCTGCAGTGCATCTAATGATATTCGATGCTACCTAGAAAAATAAAAATGGTCATCAAGTCGATGTACTGATGCTCGTCGTAAATGTTAATATATAGCCAATATATGCTATTATTGTATTAATTATTAAAACGTTGTTTTAGCAAGTACCGCAACTCTAGACTTAAAGCCCAACATTAGCCCTAACGCTAATCATGTCCCATCTCTGACCAAAACCACAATTTTAGCTGCAACCCTCACACTAGCTGGGAAAAACCCATTTACAATACAGCAGCATCCTATCTGCGTATATTATGTTTTTTATAATAATAAGGACGCTGTTTTTATAGCACCCAACTGAAGCGCCATCCTATGGTCAGTGCTAGCAGTGGTTGCCATGAAGTTCAAAGTTCAAATCACGACTGGGTTAAACCAAAACAACAGCGCAGTAGCGCCGGTGGAAAGATGTGTTGACGTCAGCATTACTTGCCGTCCTGCGCAACCTGTTAGAGCATCGGGCGGGTAGGCGAGGGGTGGGGGGAGTTATTTACTAGATTTGAGCGTCCCCGCTGGTTACATAACTGGGTCAAGGTAACGAATCTGGCGTTGAAACTTCCATAATGCGTGCCGATAATTCCAAGTGAGCATTCAAAATATGTTGATAAAATATTTGATGACTTTTTAACGTGTTAAATTAAAAGATAAATTGAAGATAAATATTAAAGCCTTACGACAGCGTAAGGAGTGGGTTTTGTGTATGTGTGTGTGTGAGTGTGTGTGAATGAATGGGGCGGCATTTTGGGGTAAGAGATGTCAACCAAAGTAGGTTCATCCCTACACTGTGAGCTAACCCAGTCACTTCATGCCATCTTGAGGCGATTCATCTTTCAGATTTAGGAGAGTACCATGAGCCCGATGTAGTCAGCCCATCACACCAGATGTAGTCCACATGTAATGTAGCCCATCACATTAGATGTAGCCGACATGTAATGTAGCCCATCACACCAGATGTAGCCTATTATCATTTCACCTGATGTAGCCCGTATTTAATGTAGCCCATTACATCAGATGCAGCAATCACACAAAATGTAGCCCATCCCACAAGATGTAGCTCACGTTTAAATTTTATGTAGCCCATTACACCAGATGCAGCAATCACACACAATGTAGCCCACCACACGTTTCATGTAGCCCATCTCAACAAATGTAGCCCTCCAAACCAACTGTGGCAATCACAACAGATGTAGCCCACGTTTGATGTAGTCCTCCAAATCAGATGTAGCCCCCATTTATAGTAGCCCACACACACCTAACGTAACGTGTAGCCCCCACACACACCTAACGTAACGTGTAGCCCACACACACCTAACGTAACGTGTAGCCCACACACCTAACGTAACGTGTAGCCCCCACACACACCTAACGTAACGTGTAGCCCACACACCTAACGTAACGTGTAGCCCCCACACACACCTAACGTAACGTGTAGCCCCCACACACCTAACGTAACGTGTAGCCCCCACACACCTAACGTAACGTGTAGCCCACACACACCTAACGTAACGTGTAGCCCACACACACTTAACGTAACGTGTAGCCCACACACACCTAACGTAACGTGTAGCCCACACACCTAACGTAACGTGTAGCCCCCACACACACCTAACGTAACGTGTAGCCCCCACACACACCTAACGTAACGTGTAGCCCACACACCTAACGTAACGTGTAGCCCACGTTTAATGTAGCCCTCCACATCAGATGTAGCCCCCATTTATAGTAGCCCACACACACCTAACGTAACGTGTAGCCCACACACACCTAACGTAACGTGTAGCCCACACACACCTAACGTAACGTGTAGCCCCCACACACCTAACGTAACGTGTAGCCCACACACACCTAACGTAACGTGTAGCCCACACACACTTAACGTAACGTGTAGCCCACACACACCTAACGTAACGTGTAGCCCACACACCTAACGTAACGTGTAGCCCACACACACACCTAACGTAACGTGTAGCCCCCACACACCTAACGTAACGTGTAGCCCACACACACCTAACGTAACGTGTAGCCCACACACACTTAACGTAACGTGTAGCCCACACACCTAACGTAACGTGTAGCCCCCACACACCTAACGTAACGTGTAGCCCCCACACACCTAACGTAACGTGTAGCCCACACACACCTAACGTAACGTGTAGCCCACACACACCTAACGTAACGTGTAGCCCACTTAAAAAAAAAACATTCCCTGTCGATGTAGGTTACAACCCTACGCTTTTTGGCGGGAAACTTTATCTGGGTCATACAGATAACACGAGGTTGTGACCTTGACCCGTAGCCAAGCGTTACTTATTGTAAAAAACACCGCTTGCATCCATCCTGACAGTATTTTTAAAACAATTTATCCAATTATGTAGAAGGGGGGGGGGGGAAGAGGGGTTAACTTAAATTTTTTTTATATCAAGGCCGTTTATCTAGCATCAACCTTGTTTTTCAAAGCTGCCTAGCACAAGGATAGAAATAACTGCTAATAAATAGTATCTTAGGGCTCGGTTAGGTAAATATAAGACGTTACACTGGAGGAGGGGGGGGGGGGCGCTGATAGCTTTGGGTGATACTGCACAGGTGTGATAACATCCGACCTGGGATAGATGACACCATCCGAGGGTGACACTATCCGGGGGTGACACCAAGACAAAAACGTGCGTATTGTCTCATTGGGGTAACTATTTATTGTTGAAAACACAGGGGGTGAAACCGATAAAAAGTCATAGGAAAAAAACCCAGAAAAAAGTCAGTTTATGCTAGGAAAAAAGTCAAAGGAAAAATGTATCGAAAAAAAAAAAATCACAGAAAAAAAGGTCACAAAAATCTTTTAAGAAATATTTTGATTTAACTATTTAGAATTGTGAAATTTTGGGTGTTTATCAATGTGGGTCGTTTTTTTTTTTTTTGCTAGCATTAAAAGCATTATGGTTTACAACCTGAATAAAAAGGTGTCATTTCAATACAACGTCAAATTGATAATGTAAAAATTCCGCTTTAGGCCTAGCGATAAATTGGGCAAATAAAGTAGAGTTCATGATCCTTAACCTCGGCATATGAAGGGATGTTGTGGTCTGAACTATGCTCGGCCGCCTTTACTTTCCCGAACGTGAGTCAGGTACCCATCTTAAAGTCTCAAGATCCGAACCTTGAGACCTTCAAGGTAGCAGCCAAATGCTCTACCGTTCATCCCAAACGCCATAATAATAACATCATTTGATTAGATGTGTGAATATGTGCATGAGAGCTGTAGATTTGTGAATATGTGCATGAGAGCTGTAGATGTGTGGTATATGCATGAAAGCTGTAGATTTGTGAATATGTGCATGAGAGCTGTAGATTTGTGAATATGTGCATGAAAGCTGTAGATTTGTGAATATGTGCATGAGAGCTGTAGATTTGTGAATATGTGCATGAGAGCTGTAGACTTGTGAATATGTGCATGAGAGCTGTAGATGTGTGGTATATGCATGAAAGCTGTAGACTTGTGGTATATGCATGAAAGCTGTAGACTTGTGAATATGTGCATGAGAGCTGTAGATGTGTGGTATATGCATGAAAGCTGTAGACTTGTGAATATGTGCATGAGAGCTGTAGATGTGTGGTATATGCATGAAAGCTGTAGACTTGTGAATATGTGCATGAGAGCTGTAGATTTGTGGTATATGCATGAAAGCTGTAGACTTGTGAATATGTGCATGAGAGCTGTAGATGTGTGGTATATGCATGAAAGCTGTAGACTTGTGAATATGTGCATGAGAGCTGTAGATGTGTGGTATATGCATGAAAGCTGTAGACTTGTGAATATGTGCATGAGAGCTGTAGATGTGTGGTATATGCATGAAAGCTGTAGACTTGTGAATATGTGCATGAGAGCTGTAGATGTGTGGTATATGCATGAAAGCTGTAGACTTGTGAATATGGGCATGAGAGCTGTAGACTTGTGAATATGTGCATGAGAGCTGTAGACTTGTGAATATGTGCATGAGAGCTGTAGATGTGTGGTATATGCATGAAAGCTGTAGACTTGTGAATATGTGCATGAGAGCTGTAGATGTGTGGTATATGCATGAAAGCTGTAGACTTGTGAATATGTGCATGAGAGCTGTAGATGTGTGGTATATGCATGAAAGCTGTAGACTTGTGAATATGTGCATGAGAGCTGTAGATGTGTGGTATATGCATGAAAGCTGTAGACTTGTGAATATGTGCATGAGAGCTGTAGATGTGTGGTATATGCATGAAAGCTGTAGACTTGTGAATATGTGCATGAGAGCTGTAGATGTGTGGTATATGCATGAAAGCTGTAGACTTGTGAATATGTGCATGAGAGCTGTAGATGTGTGGTATATGCATGAAAGCTGTAGACTTGTGAATATGTGCATGAGAGCTGTAGATGTGTGGTATATGCATGAAAGCTGTAGACTTGTGAATATGTGCATGAGAGCTGTAGATGTGTGGTATATGCATGAAAGCTGTAGACTTGTGAATATGTGCATGAGAGCTGTAGATGTGTGGTATATGCATGACATCTGTAGACTTGTGAATATGTGCATGAGAGCTGTAGATGTGTGGTATATGCATGACATCTGTAGACTTGTGAATATGTGCATGAGAGCTGTAGATGTGTGGTATATGCATGAAAGCTGTAGACTTGTGAATATGTGCATGAGAGCTGTAGATGTGTGGTATATGCATGAAAGCTGTAGACTTGTGAATATGTGCATGAGAGCTGTAGATGTGTGGTATATGCATGAAAGCTGTAGACTTGTGAATATGTGCATGAGAGCTGTAGATGTGTGGTATATGCATGAAAGCTGTAGACTTGTGAATATGTGCATGAGAGCTGTAGATGTGTGGTATATGCATGAAAGCTGTAGACTTGTGAATATGTGCATGAGAGCTGTAGACTTGTGAATATGTGCATGAGAGCTGTAGATGTGTGGTATATGCATGACATCTGTAGACTTGTGAATATGTGCATGAGAGCTGTAGATGTGTGGTATATGCATGACATCTGTAGACTTGTGAATATGTGCATGAGAGCTGTAGATGTGTGGTATATGCATGAAAGCTGTAGACTTGTGAATATGTGCATGAGAGCTGTAGATGTGTGGTATATGCATGAAAGCTGTAGACTTGTGAATATGTGCATGAGAGCTGTAGATGTGTGAATATGTGCATGAAAGCTGTAGATTAGTGAATATGTGCATGAGAGCTGTAGATTTGTGAATATGTGCATGAAAGCTGTAGACGTGAATATGTGCACGAAAACTGTAGATTTGTGAATATGTGCATGAAAGCTGTAGACTTGTGAATATGTGCATGAAAGCTGTAGATTAGTGAATATGTGCATGAAAGCTGTAGATTTGTGAATATGTGCATGAGAGCTGTAGATTAGTGAATATGTGCATGAAAGCTGTAGACGTGAATATGTGCATGAAAGCTGTAGACTTGTGAATATGTGCATGAAAGCTGTAGATTTGTGAATATGTGCATGAGAGCTTTAGACGTGAATATGTGCATGAAAGCTGTAGATTAGTGAATATGTGCATGAAAGCTGTAGATGTGCGAATATGTGCATGAAAGCTGTAGATTAGTGAATATGTGCATGAAAGCTGTAGATGTGCGAATATGTGCATGAAAGCTGTAGATTAGTGAATATGTACATGAAAGCTGTAGATGTGCGAATATGTGCATGAAAGCTGTAGATTAGTGAATATGTGCATGAAAGCTGTAGATTAGTGAATATGTGCATGAAAGCTGTAGCTGTGTGAATATGTGCATGAAAGCTGTAGATTAGTGAATATGTGCATGAAAGCTGTAGATTAGTGAATATGTGCATGAAAGCTGTAGATTAGTGAATATGTGCATGAAAGCTGTAGAGGTGTGAATAAGTGCATGAAAGCTGTAGATGTGTGAATAAGTGCATGAAAGCTGTAGCTGTGTGAATATGTGCATGAAAGCTGTAGATGTACCTCAAAGGTTAGGTTTTCTTTAGGAGTCTTTAATGTCTGTGTAACAATGTAGGTATCTGCGCCCATCAGTAGGTGTAGGTGATGTATGGGAAGTAATGATTACAATTCGCGTTACAAAATAGACTAAATTGCTCTAATTTGCTCTAATTTAATCTTGAAGCATATGAACAATGTTAACCACATACTGTTTTTGCTGATTAGTAAGAGAAGATTGTTGTATTTATTTATTTTTTAAATTTGAAAATAAATTTTATATGACTGTCTTTTGTACCAGCGACCCGTTGGGTTAAAATTGGAGTTCCATTAGAAGTCTTGAAGGGTGACTTAAATCTGTTCTAAACATCGAGATTACGATATGTTGACAAAAAATTAACTCTTTGAAGAGCTAAAATACAATGTTGACACTCAACAGAGAGGCCGAGCGATAGAGCCCTTGACTACTTACCTGTAAGTTTCGAGTCCCGTCCTCGGGCTCATTCTGAGACGCCCTTGAGTCCAAACAACTCTGATGGGCACCTGACACGTGTTATATCAAGTTGATAAAATAGCTGATAAAATAGATGATATAATTGTTGAAACAAAAGCTGATAAAAAACACCAAGCTGCTACTACTTACTTGTCACCTGGGCACTCGGAGCTAGCAGACGTGTGCTATCGTCTGTTATCTTCAAGTGTCTGTAACAAAGTTTACATTCAAACATCACGCCACTTAACTAATGAATTAATGAATTAATTCTATTGAATTTATTTGCGGAAATCATAAAAAACCCTAACCACGTAGAATACATTTTGAACTTCTAATTCTAACGTATACAAGTAATATAACGTTTTTATGTCAAGTTTTTTTTCAAACCTTTTTTTTACAAATTTAAATAAGAGCAGTCCGCACACGGCCCCCGGCCTGTCTCATGAATACAGCTACAGGACAAACGAACTTCTCATCTTGATTCACCGATGGCCGTCAGTCTCTGAAGCGCGGTCGTCAGATAATTCGTGGTTGTGTAATGATAGACATTTTCTAACCGCTTATCCTGTATTAAGATCACACATAATGCTTTAGAATCACGTTTATCTTGTGATGGGGTCTCCTGTACCCATGATGTTAACAGGCTACGTTTATTTTATTGTCATTCTGCATTGAAAACGTTATGGTCAGCCACACAGATCTTGGTTCTTTTGTTCGTCAGCATTATTTCTGGTATTTGTATTTTGCTTACATTTGGCCCTAAATACGGCCCCCAAATTTTTGGTCCTATTTTCTGTCTTCATATTTGACCCTATTTACGGCCCCACATTTGGCCCTATTAACGACCCCAGATTTGACCATATTAACGACCCCCACATTTGGCCATATTAACGACCCCCACATTTGGCCCTATGAACGACCCCCACATTTGGCCCTATTAACGACCCCCACATCCACCGTTAAATACAGTCTGTACTAAGGAAAGTTAAACCAGATTTTCAACAGCGTGAACATAATGGTGCCACGTAGGTCACGATGTCACGTTCATAGGGATGTCACTTGTTGTTAGGGATGTCACGTTGATAGGGATGTCACTTGTTGATAGGGATGTCACGTTGATAGGGATGTCACTTGTTGATAGGGATGTCACGTTGATAGGGATGTCACTTGTTGATGCCACGTAGACAGCGATGCCCTTCGTCTGCCCCCCCCCCCTCCCCCACATCCCCTTATATCCCAACTCACCATTGGTACCCTCTACAATGTTCAAATGTTTTGTCTACACTCGAGATTTCTGTCAAAACACGGGGCGCCAGTACAACAACTGTTAGTGTCGCCAGAGGGGGTGGGGGTGGGGGCTGGGGGGGGGGTGGAGGCGGTGAAAGTGGAGGGGGGTGGGAGCGTGTATGCAAGGGTGAGGTAAATACGTGCACTTTAGGATGGAACCAAGGGGCGACAAATCATTTGTGTATCCACGGGGGAAGTTAGACAAAACTCGACTTCAAACTTTTCATGTAAAAGGGGGGGGGGGGGGTCTTTCTTGCAACCTGTGTTTGACAATGGACTAATCATGTTAGTAGCACTGTTATAGCAAGTTTAATGTTAGGGCCAGGGTTAAGGGTTAGGGTTATTTTAGAACTGGGATGAGGATTACGAATGGGTTGACCATTAGTCTGTAGTTTACTACAAGTAGGACATGCTTGAGTCCACCCAGCTCTGATGGGTACCTGGTTTAATTTTGGTGAAAGTAAGGGCTGCTGGGCATATTGCTGACCATATTATCCCTACTTAAGTCGGGAATAATTGAAACAGGTGAACTCTACTTCACCTGTCACATGGACCCTAAGGTCGAAAAGGTACCTAACTTACCAGCAGACTAACAGCTTTGTTTAAGAACATGGCATGTTTGTGAAAAAGTTTTGTTTGTGAATTCCGACATCCAATTTTTATTTTCCTCCCCGATATTGCCCTGGGTTCTCATATATAAGAGAGCTATGAATGTGATTATTAAAATGTGTGGTTATTTATGTTTTTAGGCACCGCGAACTAAAACTTTGAGTTGTTTTTAGGTTTAAGATAAAATAGAAAGAAGCCTGTCACGAAGCACAGGATAGCAAATATCTAACCAATGATCAACAAAAGCTTCAACAAACGACAAATAACAAAAATATCTAAAATAAATTTGAAAACACACACCTCTAACAAATAGTCAACAGATACAAAAAAGACCTCAAATTAACTGACTAGTATCTGAACAGATGGCCCTTAACATGTGTAATTGACCAACTGCCCACTGGTAGTGCGTACGCATAAGAACGGGAAAACGACAAAGCTAAACACCACCCACGCTACAGGAACCACCAAAAGGTCAACGACCTCTGCAGCCATTGACCAAGAAATGACCGTCTAATGCTAATGACCGGTCCCATGAGGCACAGAGCCCGAGCTTTGAGCAGGCGTGGAGCCCTAACATTCCGAGACGCCCAGACGCAGAGCAGACGTTTAAACTGGGTGTTTGTCTGTTGACGTGTTTGTCTGTTGCCGTGTTTGTCGGGCTCGGCCATGTTTGGTATGTGACAACGTTTTTCATTGGTCCACAGGGTGAGAACAACAGTGAGTCTCTGTGTGTTGGTGTGGGGGGGGGGATGTGTGTGTGAGCGTGAGATTTTGTGTGGGTGTGTGGAGGGGAGTGGGGGGATGTGTAGCAGTTGGTGTGGGATGTGTAGCAGTTGGTGTGGGATGTGTAGGAGTTGGTGTGGGATGTGTAGGAGTTGGTGTGGGATGTGTAGGAGTTGGTGTGGGATGTGTAGGAGTTGGTGTGGGATGTGTAGGAGTTGGTGTGGGATGTGTAGGAGTTGGTGTGGGATGTGTAGGAGTTGGTGTGGGATGTGTAGGAGTTGGTGTGGGATGTGGGGGAGCTGGTGTGGGATGTGTAGGAGTTGGTGTGGGATGTGTAGGAGTTGGTGTGGGATGTGTAGGAGTTGGTGTGGGATGTGGGGAAGTTGGTGGGGGATGTGTAGGAGTTGGTGTGGGATGTGTAGGAGTTGGTGTGGGATGTGTAGGAGTTGGTGTGGGATGTGTAGGAGTTGGTGTGGGATGTGGGGGAGTTGGTGTGGGAAGCAAAGACGCTCATTTCCGGCACCAGGACATAACTGCAGCACCACTCTAGAGTCGTCGCTAGGGGTATGGTGCCTATGGTGGGGGGTGACCGCCCTGGGCGTCAGCCCTACGGGGTGCTCAAAGGGGTAAAACAAAATGCTAAGTTTTATCTGCATTACTGAACTATAAGATTAATAGTAATACACATACATATTTTTACACATTTTTATTTTCCACATCGGTTGAAAAATATTTTTTTTAAAAATCCAAAGCGGTAACAAAAGTGTCTTTCCCCCCTTGTTTTTCTCCTTAATGAAAGAGCTTACATAGGCCTATATAAATAGGTTGCAAGGGGAATCCCCCCTCCAGTAGTACCGTAGCACTATTACCTCGTGTCTTTTGTCAACATTGCCGGCTGTGGAGTCCACGGATCAATATGTGGAGCACTAGACATTCTATGGAGATTTGTTCCACAAGGCCAGAGAAGTTTTGCCCTCAACAAGGTGCAGGGGCGGCACACAACACTTTTGTCTGCGGTTTGACTCGGCCAGTACACATACCCCCCACCCCACCACCACGACCACCAACATGATGAGGTGAATCACCACAAGGACTGTCCGTCTTCTCGGAAGCAACATCTGCAGACTGTTGCCCTCATACTAGCAGGTCTAGCGGATCTTCTGTATCGTGGTCAAGGCCGTGGTCAGTCCTACTACAGCACAGACCTCTCCAAATCAACAATCGAATGGACTGCAGCTTGTATGTAAGGTCGTCAGGTGCGAGATTTAAACCCAAAGGAAATTTTCTTAAGTAGTTTTCACAGGTCTTATCAATATATTTTCCAACCTTAATCTACGACCAAAACCTGAAATTTTTTCCCACGGAAACCAAGACAAATATTTTAGACGAAAACCAAAAAAAAATATATATCAACAAAAGCTTAATTTTCACCGTTTGTAGCTTTATTACTTTCAATAACGAGGGATTTTTTTTTAACATTTACAATGAAAGCAGTAATAATCAAAATATAACCATTAAAATAACCTTAATAATACAATAGCAATAACCACAATTATAAATATAAAAGTAACCAATAAACCGGGAGGTTTTATTTAACCAGCTCTCGCGTGTTGTTGGTTGTTTGTTTTTAAAGTTTGCCCAGCGTGATTTTGTCGCTTGTTTTGTGTGCAAGAATGAGGAAACACGACATTTTTACCTCGAACATTTGAACAACTCGTCACTCTTATCGCCAGGCCTCAGATCTGTTAAAAGTTTATTTCAATTCACTTTTTCTTGTTACGTTCTCAATGCTGGACAAACCCACACACATCCTAGACACACCCACACACATGCTAGACACACCCACACACATGCTAGACACACCCACACACATGCTAGACACACCCACACACATTCTAGACACACCCACACACATGCTAGACACACCCACACACATGCTAGACACACCCACACACATGCTAGACACACCCACACACATGCTAGACTCACTCACACACATGCTAGACACACCCACACACATGCTAGACACACCCACACACATGCTAGACACACCCACACACATGCTAGACACACCCACACACATTCTAGACACACCCACACCCACCCACACACATTCTAGACACACCCACACCCACCCACACACATTCTAGACACACCCACACCCACCCACACACATGCTAGACACACCCACACACATGCTAGACACACCCACACACATACTGGACACACCCACACCCATCCTAAACACACATCATTAACACATTCACACATCCTAAACAGATTCAAACATCTAAACACTCCCACACACATCCTAATCACATGCTGACTATAGGTTGTTACTGGTCATTGTGTCGAAATGGTATTTCATTGTACAAACTGATGTGTACTATATTTTTGAACTTTTGAACAAAAAAGGCGAGAGTGAAACAAGCCACGTATATGAACTGCATCATTTTAAAAATTCTTTTTGGACTTCCTCTAAATTTGTCTAGTGCGGTCACACTTCCGCGTATTAGATGGATGTTTGGGGACTTGTGAATTAACTAATTGGGACAATGTGTGAGAAAAAGTGTGCGGGACTTTAAAGTTAACAGTAATCACATTATGAGCTTGTAAGTAGAAATTGTCGTTTAAATTTTTGAAATTACAAGTCTGCTAATTTATGACGATGTTTGTGTAAAATTTGTTATGGGGGGGGGGGGTCGTGCTAAGGACTTCTTATTGTGTGTTGGTGTGAGGGTGTGTGTGTGGGGGGGGTCGTCCTACGGACTGATTCTTCTGGTAAATACAGCAGGCGTTTAGCAGCAGCTGATATCCAGTATTGGGGACAGATTGTGTGAGGACGACGGGAGGGAGAGAGGCGGAGGTAATTTTTTTAAATAGACCATAATTTGTTTGGTCTAGATTCTAGATGTAAGAGTGCACTTGTTCTTAGCCTTGAGTGGAACACATCACGCACTGCTCTCTTTGTGTGTGTAGATTGTTTGTGTATAGGCATAATGTGTGGATATAGGGTGTGTAATTAATGTACAAAATGTGTGTAGTTACTGTGTAATGTATGTATAGAATGTGTGTAATCAGTGTGTAATGTGTGTGTACATACGGTGTGTAAATGATGTTTGTATGTAGTCCTAATGTGAGTATACAATGTGTATGAAGAATGTGCATATAAAGTGTGTAGTTAGTGTGTCATTTGTGTTTAAATAAGGTATGTGTATATAATGTGTGTATAAGCCTAATGTATCTATATGTGTGTTATGTGTGTGTAATGTGTGTGTATGTCAGGTGTGTTTAAAAGTCTGTGTGTTTATCTGTGACCTGAAAAGGTCAGTATATTAGAGAGGTATTACATGAGGCCAATACATTGGCCATAGAATCAAGTCTGGCCATAGAGTCCAGAGTTTGGCCATAAAACCCAGAGGTTGGCCATAAAACCCAGAGGTTGGCCATAAAACCCAGAGGTTGGCAATAAAACCCAGAGGTTGGCCATAAAACCCAGAGGTTGGCCATAAAACCCAGAGGTTGGCCATAAAACCCAGAGGTTGGCCATAGAGCCCAGTCAGCCCATAGATCCCAGAGACGATGGGCCATACGATCCATATGTTAACAAACCGCCCCTAATTTGGCCATATAGTTCACAAACTGACATTAACTACTAAGATCTTGATCTTTAAAGTGACACATAATCTGTTTTTCGTCACCAACTAGGAAAGAACAAAAAAAAAAAAAAAAAAAAAAAAACAACGGACCACCCATAACAATATGACCTTCAAATGCACACAAATTCAACTTGTTTTAATTGTAACGACACACTGATGTGTCACAATCCGACAAGCCCCCCCCCCTCCTAATGTGTCTTGTCATCCTGCCTCATGTGTATGCTTCTATAAATAGCGCAGAAGTACATGCCTACATACCGCACTTAACAACGTAAGCTCTGTTTGAATGAAAGTGTACTTTTAGCCTCTGCTCCATATCTGTGTGTACGCTAGCAACCAATCACAGGCCAGGGCGGGCGGGTTATGTGGGGGCCATAAATTTGACAGGGGGGTGAGGTTAGGGTTAGCCTGGTAAACCACGAAACGGCTCACAGATAAATCTAAAATCAATTTATTTTTATGATAATTTATTCATGTTTTTATTGCTAGCGGCGCGGTTGTTTCTATGGCTTTGGTTTAAATAGGGGGGGGGGGGGGGGTAAAGTTATGTTAAAGTGCGTGCGAGGAGGGTGTTAGAATGAAAATAAAGGAAGCAGGGATGTTAGGGTGTAAGAAGCAGGGATGTTTGTAAGAAGCAGGGATGTTTGTAAGAAGCAGGGATGTTTGTAAGAAGCAGGGATGTTTGTAAGAAGCAGGGATGTTTGTAAGAAACAGGGATGTTAGGGTGTAAGAAGCAGGGATGTAAGGGTGTAAGAAGCAGGGATGTAAGGGTGTAAGAAGCAGGGATGTAAGGGTGTAAGAAGCAGGGATGTAAGGGTGTAAGAAGCAGGGATGTAAGGGTGTAAGAAGCAGGGATGTAAGGGTGTAAGAAGCAGGGATGTAAGGGTGTAAGAAGCAGGGATGTTTGTAAGAAGCAGGGATGTTTGTAAGAAGCATGGATGTTTGTAAGAAGCAGGGATGTTTGTAAGAAGCAGGGATGTTTGTAAGAAGCAGGGATGTTTGTAAGAAGCAGGGATATTAGGGTGTAAGAAGCAGGGATGTAAGGGTGTAAGAAGCCGTATGGAGCTGGATGATCATCTTTGCAGCTGTTAGATCTAAAGCCCAAAACACGTTAGGCAACGGCTTTGGTAAAAAACAACCGGACCGGTAAATTTAACCGGCGTGTGATTGCCATCAAAATAACCAGGCCCGTAAATTCAGCCGGTTGTGATTGTCATCTGCCAATGAAGACCGGTAAATTTAGCCGGTAATTTAATGATTGTTTGTCACCAACCTAAAGTGACCGGTAAATTAAGCCGGCTATGATTGTCACCACGGTAACCAGACCGGTGCATTAAGCCGGCAGTGATTGTCTGTATGTAAATGAACCCGCCCGTGGTCCCATCTATCCAATCTACGGACACCTTTAACCTGCCCGTGGTCCCATCTATCCAATCTACAGACACCTTTAACCTGCCCGTGGTCCCATCTCTCCAATCTACGGACACCTTTAACCTGCCCGTGGCCACATCTATCCAATCTACGGACACCTTTAACCTGCCCGTGGTCCCATCTATCCAATCTACGGACACCTTTAACCTGCCCGTGGCCACATCTATCCAATCTACGGACACCTTTAACCTGCCCGTGGCCCCCATCTATCCAATCTACGGACACCTTTAACCTGCCCGTGGCCCCATCTATCCAATCTACAGACACCTTTAACCTGCCCGTGGCCCCATCTATCCAATCTACAGACACCTTTAACCTGCCCGTGGTCCCATCTATCCAATCTACGGACACCTTTAACCTGCTGTGGTCCCATCTATCCAATCTACGGACACCTTTAACCTGCCCGTGGTCCCATCTATCCAAT